CGACCAACACCAACCTCATTTGAATCTATACAAACAAAAATCAGGTCCGGGCACGGTCATAGTATGGTACGGTATAGTGGGCATATACCTTTATACTTTTTTTATAAATTGGTAGGCTTGGCGGCTACTAAATCGAATAAAAATATCGCCCAAGATGGATGACTATGTCGCAACCTCCTTTCCACTGGCAGCTATTATTTGACAGGTCGTTGAAATGAATAATTGGCAAAGCAAATTTTTCTCTTAAAGCAATTTATGCAGTGTTTTATAAATAAATTTTGGTTATAATGCAAAAACCCAACTATTAGTAGTTGTACAGTTTTTTTGTGACTTATTTTACGGAACTATAACGTCATTAATATTTTTTTAAACGGAACGCCGGTAAATCACGTGGTTAATAAATGCATATTTGCCAAATTATAGGTGATTTTATTTAACTTTAATTTAGCTGAAATCAATTATACAGAAAGTGTTGTCATGACAACAATTGTAATGGAATAGTCAAATTAAATCTTTTATAACTTGGCAACTGCGCATTTTCTAATCACGAGAGTTGGGTTTTTGCACATCCCCAACTAGCCATTCATAAAAGTGTATTTGTTGTGAAGTTCTCATCATCATCTATTGTATAGTCCAGGAGACAGTGACGATTTTCGGTATTTATTTTCCCAGTCAGCAAGCACGAATAGAGAATTGTAGGATTAGCAATTCTAAGCAAAATTCATATATATTTAGAGGGGGGATCCGATGGACTGAGGCCGAAAATGCGTCAAAACATACGAGAACACGGCCCTTTTTTTCCATTGATAAAAATAGTTTTAGTAGTAAGAGATGTACTGAAGTTAAGTAAAAAAATAGTCTGATTAATCTGTATGGATAATATATTTGGCAAGTGCATGAAATACACTTTCAAACGAGTTATGTACACAATTATTTCTACGACCACAGTTATTTAAAGAATGTTCCAGGTGTTTTGTATATTAAAGTGTACGCATAGGACACATAAATAAAATCTTATATCACAATGTTTCACCTAACCAGTTGGTTTATTTATAGAAATTAAACATAATAATTGAAGATATTACAGAAGAAAATAGGGAAATAAATTACATTTCCGTTTACACTTTTATATAATAATTGTTTTATTTAGAATTCACGAATCACTTATACATTAATTATAATTATTGTTAGTTTCGTTATGTCAAATCATTTATACTAGAGGTGTGAGGAAAATACAGTGAACTGTGTAACGCCTATATCGTTGGATGCGCGTGGTAGAAATGGTCCTATAATACTGCTAAAAACATATAGCTAAATTTTCATGGAAACACTGTACTTTTGACATTTGCGATACTCCGACGCATATGCATTATTGATGTAATCTCATAATTTTACAGTAATAGTTTTTGCAATTTTAGTGTGATTTTTAGGTTATTATGGTTATTCATTTTATTTGCGCTTTTAGAGTATTTGTCTTTTATATAGTTTTTAATTTGAATTTTAATATTGTGGTCTATTTATATTTGATTGCTGCTTTTCGACTAGTGCTTTATTCTTTTTGTGTTAAAATAAGCTTTATAACCATTAAGTACATGCTTCTAGTTGATATCTACCTAATGGTCATCGGGTGCTTGCAACAATGGGTAAAAGTGTATGGTTTTTTTGGTGTAAAGTTTTTCAGGTAAGTTATTTGTAGTTATTTTTTACTTAAAAGGATAGCAATACGTCCTGGTTCGGGGTGTGACTTTTGGGTTTTAGCTATCTGAGCCAAATTGTCGGCTAAGTGTCCTCTTTTAGGGCACCCAGAACCGAAAACTATATAGGTATATAATGTTTTTTTTTTAATTATTTTTTAATATGTATGCAGCTTGGATGAGGGCTTTAGGAAGAGATCCTAAGACTGAACACTGACTGCTATAAATGCCGTTTTTAGAGCACATTTCATAGTAAGTGATTTCATTCTAGCAGCAATGAGGAAACGTTTAAAAAACATGCTGTACCAGCTATTACTTTAAGACCTTGTCTCTTTAAGTTATTATTACTTCATTCTAATGCATATATTAAAATGGTTTTTAACTTATGTCCTTATGATTAAAAGATATAGGTATTTTAGTTATGTTATAATAGAAATATATGATACTTTGTATTGACTGACCTACTGGCCACTGGTCATTCCACTTTTACTCCCTTTTTTCATAAATTATCAAATTATTTAAAAACAAATACATACCTAGCTATTTTCTGTAAATTACATTAAAATTTTAGTATTAATACTTTACTAATACAACTTCATTTAATTTATCTTATATATATACACAACGGAATTGGATTTTCTCCTTGTTGAGTTTCAAAAATAGTAATTTAACATTTAAAAATGTAAAAAACGTATTTCTCATCTATTAAATTGTTGTTAACGATAAAGAATACTTTTAATTTATTAAAACAAAAATAAAACCTGACTCGATAACTTAAATCAGTGAAAATAAGTTGCTTGAGATGGGGTCGTTTTTATGGAAAATTTTAGTGTTAATACTTTACTAATAAAACTTCAGTTAATTTATCTTATATATATACACAACGGAAGAGTTAATTGGATTTTCTCCTTATTGAGTTTCAAAAATAGTAATTTAACATGATTTAAAAACAAATACATGAAATGGGCAAAATAGGCCTGCAAAGGCACTTTGTAAACAATCTCACTTGTATCGATGTGACGTAATGCGCGAATTCAATCTGGTTTACTTTTGTTAATAGATTGGCGTTCCATTTTAAATATACAGTTCACCGGGAATAGATTATTTAAATATACACGGACCGGGAAAACAAGTACGAAAAAATTCACTGGCTCCTGGACTAGTACTGTATCGAAGGAATTTTTATGAATGAAACAATATACGACCCTCCACAATTGCGGTCTACTCAACTTCCGCTGTTGTCAGACATTATTTTTTTTTGGACAATTTAAAGACTTAACAGTAATTCAAGCAAACGCAATAACATTACTACAGTTAAAAACATCGCAAACTTGGCATCAATATTTTAATTTTATCCAAATATTGCATTTCTGTCGAGGATCATCCGCGTTGACTTCAGAAATTGTGTAATCTGTATTGGTTATATATATCTATAGTTAAAAGCACGTAAACTTGGCATCAATGTCCAATCCGATTATTGAGTTTCTACCGCGGACACCACCGTTCATTCTTCAAAAATTTTGTAAATAATCCTATCTGTCTTGGTTATATATCTATGGGTTTTTGTTTAATCGTTACTATGACAAGGGTTCACTCGTCAACAGTTTTTGTTTAACTGATTTCAGCTAATTTAATGTTAAATAAAAGCGTCTATAACTTGGCAACTACGCATTTCTTCACTACGAGATTTGGATTTTTATTCAGTCGTTAAATCTCGGGATGAGAAAATTACCAAGTTATAGGTGGTTGAATTTAACTATGTTAATATAAGTTATTGAGAAATTGTTGTCTTGGGGACCCGTAAACAAAAACCTTAATCTGGTGGTGAGAAAATGAATGATTGCCAAGTTATAGATGGCTTAATTTAACTTTGGTTTAGCTTAAATTAGTTATGCAGAAACTGTTGTCATAACAATAATTGGGATGGGATAGTTAAATTAAATAATATGTTACCTGGTAACTACGAGTTCAATTGAATACCATTAATTTTAAGTTATACCATACGTTAACGTAATTTTTCAGTCTTGCTCAAAATCGAAACTTAATAAAAATAAATAAAATCTGACAAAAATGTCATATACAGTTATGATTGTTATTAATGTACTTTGTGAATCTCCTACTATAATTTAAAATAATCATAATACAAAGTGAACTTTTTATTTAAATCCTCGAGATTAATTTTTCCTAAGCCTATCCTGGAATTTTTATCTTTTGAGGGTATTAATCATGTGCTAGACAATAGTGTACGTGTACAGTATGTGCAAAAAATCTAGTAATCATTCTAGATTTTACACCCTGTATAAAAAGTTAAATTACGTTTAGAAATCCTGAAAGTGCAATATTCACTTAATCCGAATTTTTTTAAGAGGACACTTACTCATTGTGATTTACAACATTTCAGCTATTCCTAGTTTCCATGCCGTAAAGCCTAAGTGTGTCAAGGCCACCCGTAGTCCTGCCGTAATTATTCCCCAAAATTTAAATCAATATCATTAGAAATCACAGAAATACAAACAGTTCACAAAAATATTTTTTTTTCCTTATATATCCAACATTAATACATTAATATTGTTCAAAATGTTTGTTACAAAAATGAAAAATGTGTTTATTTATAAGAAAATTTCATATTTATATTTATAATTTTATTAGCTGATATTAAAGAGTGCTTCAAAAATTTTATAACCAATGAAATCAAAATATAAGATTTTTTAAAATATATACTACATAATTGAATAAAATATTGTAATAATAAAATCGTAATATCTTTCAACTGTTATAACAAATTCTAGAAAACCTTTAAAAAAAATTAAAATAAATTTATATTTATTGAAAAATAATTTATGATATATAATATATAATTATGATTTTTTTTTTATTTACATAAATTATATTTTAGGATAGAAACAACTAAATAAATATTTTTAAAATTCGTATAGATTTAACTTATTATTTTAGATAAAATTTTATATAAAAATTAGTTTATAATTTAAATTATAAACTATAAAATTATATATTTAAATTATATAATTTAAATTATTTTTATTTTTTAAATGGTTTTAAAATAATTGAACCTAAATATTTTCATATAAATTGGTTAATTAAGGTATACATTAAAAATTCTTGAATAAATAAATGATAAATTATATTAAAAATATTAAAATAAATAATAACTTTTTATGTATATTCCTGGGCGAAAATAAACACAACAATATTATATAATTTAATATTTTTATGAAAACATTTTCTAAAATTGTTTAACAATTTCTACACAATCTTTAAATAAATTAATTAAAAAAATGTACTTACGAACAAAAATATTTGACATCAAAGTAGCTGGCAAACAAAATACAATCACCAATATATCAGCAACAGCCAAATTGACAATAAAAAAATTCGTAACAGTTCTCATACGAGGTGACCGAAAAACAACAGCTATCACAAAAAAATTGCCTACTATCCCTAAGGCGAACACTAGAAGATATGCCACACAATACATAGTAGTCATAGCCATTGAATGCCTATAAAACATGTCAGGATTAAAAACTGACTCCGTAATATTAACAGAAGAATTAAAAATGATTATAGCTTCATTAGATTTAATTTCTAGTAAAGAATTTTTATGAATTTCATTATCTTCCGCATGATTTTGTAAAATCGTCGTAATACTAGATAAATATTCGGTTGAAATCATATTATTTGATTGATCTGAATTGCTTATATCCAAATTTGTACCATCATCTTCGTTTGAATTTTTTGAAAATATAGACATGGCACTTATCTACTGAATATCACAATTTCTCATTTTCGAAAGATTTCACGAAAAACGCGTACGGTTTTCATTCAAAATTTTGGAAAAAATAATATTAGCGCGATGTTTCGATGTAGCTTTTTGAAAAGTGACGCTACTGAAGGCGCGCGTCGCGATGGAGTGTCGGCACACGATGATTTTGGGTTTGGAGAGTCTGAATATTCTTCGTGGTGCAGTGGGGGATGGATGTATGTGTATTCAGGCGACTGCGCCATGTTTAGAATTCCAGTTTATTCACTATATTTAAATTTTTTAAGTAGTTAAAACACTTTTTTATGTCCCATCCTCGGAAAGTTAGCTTTTCTATACATAGAAAGTTGAAGTTTTCTCATTTTCAGTGACACGGCATTTTTAAACCTGTCTCTTTTAAAAGCAACACGACGAACTTGTTCCGGATTAAAATAAAGTTTTAATATATTTTTTTTGTAGACAGACTGTTTCACTTTAACTGAATTTTGTAAACTTAGAAAATAGCTTCGTGTTTTTTGTCATATATTTATTTTTTAACAGTCTCTATCTTGAAATAATTATGTAAATCTGTATTCCGATATATCAAAGCATCCACAACATTTCTAATTATTTTATTTTAGAATTCCTGATTGATATCCACAGTTGCTTTAGCATAATCCCAAAGCTGCACACCATAAGTCCATACACATTTTAATACTTTTATAGATGAGCAATTTGTTATGTAAATTTTGATCTGCTGTTATTTAACCAGTACATTTTATTATATTTCATATCAAATTCTTTTCTTTTTTCTTGATGTCCTCTTTCCATCGAAATTCATTACTAGATTCTACCGATGCTATATTTCCTACTCTAGAGAAATTATACATCGATTTAAATGATAACAGGGTAGCTGTTGCAGTGTTTTGTGATTTATCCAAAACTTTTGACTGTGTAAATCACAAAATATTGCTGAGGAAGCTAGAAAAATATATATTCCAAGGAATAGCTCTAAAGTGGTTCCAGTCTTATTTGAGGCCTAGAGTACAAAGAATTTCTTTCAATACGCAAACGTCAACGATTCACTGTGGGTTCCTCAAGAAACCGTTCTGGGACCCGTGTTATTTTTAATTTATGTTCATGATATTATTAATGTCAATTAATGGATACTTCGCCAAATTTACAGATAATGCCTACAACTACACCAACACCTCTGGGAAAATGAGAATATTGAAGAGTTGACTAATGTGCTTAACAACGACATTATTAAAATAAAAGAATGGTGTAATTTATTTCTTAATATATTAAAAAACAAATATTCTCTCAATCAGTGGCGCTATCTGTATAATTTTAGTTGGAATGCAACAAATTCTTAGGTTTATTTATTAACCAGAAATTAAAATTTGAAATCCATGTTAATAATTTGTGTAAAAAGTGCCTCTGGATGTTTTGCAGTAAGAACTGTTGCATACAATTTAGATATTTTGGTTGCAAGGAGTCTATACTTTTCATTTGTAGAATCCCATCTGCGATATGCTATAAGTTTCTTCCGAGTTGTTCACTGTCTTACAGAAGAGGGCCATAAGACATATGTGCAAAGTTGATACTAACATTAACTTGTCTATTTATTTTAGAAACGGTACTTTCTGTTTTAACCAATCAGGGCCTGAAGTGGGTCAGCAATTCGGGTTATAAAAAATAAAACTTTTTAGGATAAAAAAATTGCATAATTTCATATTTTCTATTTGAGTTTCCAATATTAAACTAGAATGAAAATATGACAATCTATATTATACTCTTCACAATTTAACTCTTCATTTTAAAATAATTTTTTTTTTTTCAGAATCAATAGGCTTCATCCCCTTATAGAACTGGAATTTTTCTGAAGATTTCAACTTGATATCGGTTTTTGTTTTTGAGTTAGGATATTTTTTAATTATTTACCCTAACACCCCTATTTTTATTCAGAATCAGTAGGCTTCATCCCCTTATAAATCTTGATTTTTACTAAAAATTTTATGATGATATCGCTTTTCGTTTTTGATTTATGTTATTTTTTAGTTTCAGCCCCCTTTAACACTCATTTTTAATTTTTTTTAAACTAAGTTCTATAAAGGGACGGCCTTTATAGAGCTTAATTTTTGCTAAAAATTTCAAGTGGATGTTATTTTTAGTTTTTCAGTTAAGTTTTTTTTAATATTCCAACCCACCTTAACACCCCCATTTTTATTTTGAATCAATAGGCTTCATCTCTTTATAGAGCATGATTTTTACTAAAAAATTCATGTTATCGCTTTTCGTTATTGCTTTCTGATTTTTTCTAAATTTCAATCGCACTTAATGATGATCCATTTTTATTCAGATTTTTCAAAATCAATAGGCTCTTTTTCCTTATAGAATTTGATTTTTGCTAAAAATTTGAAATTGATATCATTTTTAATTTTTGAGTTTGGACTTTTTATAATATTTTAATCCCTTCCCCCCTATTTTTATTCTTTTTATTTCCGAATCAATAGACTTCATTTCTTTATAGAGCTCGCTTTTTACTAAAAAATTCATGGTGATATCGCTTTTCGTTTTTGATTTATATATTTTTTTAATATTCAACCCACTGTAATCCCCCATTACTTTCAATTTTTTAATAAATTTCAGATTGATATCATTTTTTGTTTTTGAGTTAGAACTTTTTTAAATATTTCAACCCCCTTTAACACCCCTATTTTTATACAGATTTTTTTTTAATAAATATGCTTCGTCCCTTTATAGATCTTGATTTTTACTAAAAAGTTCAGGTTGATATCGCTTTTCGTTTTTGATTTTTGTTTTCTTTTTTATTTTTACTCCCCCTTAACTCCATTTTTATTCAGATTTTTTCAAAACTAACATGGAGCTTCATATTTTCTAAAAATTTCAAGTTGACATCCTTTTAATTTATGTTTCTTTTTTTAGTTTCATCCCTCGTCAACTAACTATTTTTAATCAGATTTTTTTTCCAATATCAATTGGCTTGATTTTTCGTGAAAATTTCAAGTTATCATTTTTTATTTTTGACTTATCGTGCGGACAAAAATGTGACATCGGACGGACAGACGCAGACGGGCGGTAATTTTTAAATTTTAAAATTTTATGGGACGAATTTTGGTACAAAAATTGTAAAATTTGAATCAATATTGAAAATTCCGGTTTCTCAGAAGTAAACCTATAACACTCTTTACAGATTACCGTCTACAGAGTATAATAAGAGGTATAACTACGAGATTTATTAGTGGGTACCGTGGTTACAAATGGGCACTGTAGATTGCAGTATCGGATTGGGCCGTCGGTTTATGGGTCAAAACACCGGTAGGCCCTCGTTCAGGCAGTGGGCCCTTATTCAGACAGCCTTCATAAATTAAATGCAAAAAACCCTGTAATACGTAAGAAGACCTTTTTTGTTCTTTAATGAGACATTACCTTTTTTTGCTCTTCAATGTGAGATTACCTTTTTTGTTTTGCTCTTCAATGAAAATCGGTCTCTTTTCCCTCCTGACCAGTAGGCTCTAGAGGTCCCAATCCGACACTGCTAGATTGCAACCAACCAAAATAGAAATAAAACATTTTTAGCTATAAAATACTACAAAAACGTAACAAAAATTCTTAAACAAATTAAATAGTACTATTTTAGAATAAAGAAATTTTTTACAAACACAATTTCCTCTTCTATCGGATTTTCCAGATATTTTTATAAGCTTCATTTTTTTAATAATTGAAATATCTAGAATATCCGGATATATAAAGAAATTTTCCTTATTGTAAATGATAGTTTTTCTGATATCTGTAAATTCTCCAGCATGTTTATCTTCAAGGATAATGAGGGTAATATTAAATAAATCTCTTTTGTTCGTTGAAAATTTCAATATCACAAATTCGCCAGGTGCTCACTCATTTCCTGACGGTTCAAGACTTTGAGTGGTCTTCTGAAACTACATAATTCCTCTAGTGAATTTTTCTCCTCTTCCAAGCTGTCATTTTCTGAAAGCTCAACACTTGTTCCAACTATTTCGAATTGGTTTCACCGCAGAAAAGAATTAATGTATAAAATGGAGATGAATAAAATCTTTAAAATAATAATTGCTTTTTTGGGGTTTGGGGAGAGTCAGAATCTTGCAGAACACTCAATCTATTTAACTTCGAGCCGCCTGGGTACAGATATATTATTTCAGAAATATTTGCGGACAATAAAAACTAATTGTTGATGGTAGGTAACATTTTTTTATTTTCGTGCTTTTTATGATAAAAAATATACAGAAGTGGGTACCTATTAATATAAAATATTTCTATTTCAAATTATTAGTTCAAATAATATTTAAAACAATTTAGCTAAATATTGACCTTATTTGTGCGAAAGCTAGATGATAAAACATACGTTTATAAATTTAATTTGTTTGTACTCTGTTGGTTTGTAAAAGTGGGACAACATAATCAGACAAATTCAGCAGCTGGATTATTTCATATATTGTCGATTCAAGCTTGTTCCAATTATTAATATTGAATCTATATTAATAGGCGATTGCAAATTTCCATTATTTGGGTTTACATTTAAAATTGTTTAGGTATTCATTGAAAAGTCATTAAATAATAAATTATTTTCTAATATTCATTCCCTTTTATATGTTTAACCCACCACGTTCTGTTTTTTTTTAATCAAGAAGCTTGAGTATCTTAAAGTATTTTTACGATAAGAAGACAGTGACGTCACCGGATAAAAAACCTACAACGCATTGTCAGGTAATTTTTTTTCCTTCACTTAAAGATAACATTGTGAAAGTGTTCTTTCTATTTTCCCAGCTTGAATATAAAATAATCTAATGTGCTATTGACTTTAAAGTGCTACTAATTAAGTTATAACTCGATTGAAGATTGGAATGGATGTAAAAAAGAACTGCTACTCTATAGAACAATAAAATCTTGACTATGAACTATTTTCAAAAGAAAGAAAAGTGTTTTAAGATTCTAATAAAAATTAATAGTTATGTAGTTTTGTAATTTTTATTTTAATATGAAATCATAGTAATGTACCTACAAGTTCGTTTTTTTTGCTGCCACTGATATCTTGGCTCAGGTTCACTACCAACCAGACAAAATTTTCTCATGATTGACGTTTCCATTTTGTTACATG